CGGCCCCCCGTTCTTTTAGCCGTAGCGGCTGTCCCCGAACCAGCGAATGACCTCGGCCCGCGGCAGGCCCGTCTGGGAAACGATGGCATCGTACTCCTGGTTCGTGGGCCGCTGGGTCTGCACGAACATTTGCTTCAGCAGATGCCGCTGCTGGGCCGTTTTTTTAAAGTTCAGTTTGGTTTTCGGAGGGGTGGGCGGCCGGCTGGAGCTGCCGTCCCCTTTCTCGTTTGCGCTGGCCCCCGGTAACTCGCTTTTGCCGTTGGACTCAGTCACTCGGAGGTTTTTCAGGTTGATTTTGATGGGGCTGACTTTCCGCTCCACCGAGTTTGGGTTGTTGCCGGAGGCATCGACTGAGCCATTTTCACTCGCGGCTTTCAGCTCATCCGAGGAGTCTTCCCCTTCCCCACCATCATTTTCCACCTCCTCCTCCTCCTGCCGAGCCGCCTCCTCCACTTTCTTATTTTCCTCTGCCACCTTCTTCTTCCTCCTCTCCGAGAACCAGCTATCGATCTCCCTCCGCGTCATCTTTGTTTCCCCCCTCAGGCGGTTCACCTCTTCCTCCGCAGGAAGGGGATTTTGGGCAAAACTGCTCTCCAGGGCCTTCAGCTGCTCCGGCGCCCGCTCTTTGTACTTGGTGGGCGTGAAGTCGGGCGCCTGGTGCCACGACTGCCGCCGCGGTGGGTGGTGAGGGGCCGGGGCGGCCGCTGCCGCTGCCGGGCTCAGCTCAGCTCCTCTGGGCGAGACGTCAAAGGTTATTTCGGGCAGGGAATCCAGAGCGCTGTCTCCAGGGAAGACGGCCCGGCCGCCTCTCACGTTCCTGTAGTGGTACCGCCTATCGCTGAACCATTTTCGAATCTCCTTGGTGGAAAGGCCTGTGATTTTTGTCAGCCGCTCAACTTCAGCCTGGCCAGGGAACTGGTTTCTACAGAAGCTGCCTTTCAAGGCCGAGAGCTGCTCGTGGGACTTCTTGTTTTTGTACACGTTGGGATCCAGGAAGGTCTGCGAGGAGATGGCCGGGCAGGCGGTGAGCAGCGACTGGCCGCTGTTGACCACCTTCACCCCCGATGCATTGCTGGAGCTCACCGTGCTGTGCTGCGCCGCCGGCTGTGGCTTGGGGACAGAAGTCACCGCCAAGGTGAAGGAGGAGCTGGTGCCCTTCAACCCGTTTGCCATGATGGGCTGTGTGACCAGCAGACCCCCAGTTCCCTCAGGCTGCCCCACCACATGGCCAGGTAAAGTCGCCTGAATAAGATGGGGGACGCTCCCAGGATTCGCAACCAGCGGCGTGTTCAAAACTGTAATCGTGGGTTGCGGCACGGACTGAATAACAGTGTTGAACATCTTCTTCCTGGCATCTTCGATCTCCTCCGGTGACCAGCTGATGCCCTGCTTCAACCTCTGGGCAGTGAACCAGATCTTCAGCTGCTCTTCTGGGTACTTTGTCACCACAGTCAAGTAGCAAAGCTCAGCTTTGGTGGGGTAGGGGAACTTGTGGAAAGAGTTTTTGAGGAAGCTGTTGGAGTCCATGGCGGCGTTGTACGTTGGAATGCTGCTCAGGGGGATCATCACCTTGGGAAGGGACTTGGACGTAGGTAGCTGCTGATGCAATGGCGGTTGCTGCTGCAGTGACACAAGTTGTGCAACGCCCGCCTGCAGGACAGGTACGTTTCCTATGATGGAGCCGTTCACTATATGAGATGATTTTGTCGAACTTGCAGTAGGCTGGCTGACCGGCACGGACCCGTTTGGGAATGAGTGCTCTCCATCTTTTACTTCCGACTCACCGCCCAGCTGACCTGACACATTCTCCTTCAGCGTGTGGATTTTTTTGGCCTCCGGTTTACCTTTCATTATCTTCATGATGGGGGTTTTGGTAATGATAATTTCAGACTGGCCATCCGCCCCTTCTTCAGGGACCTCTCCTGGAAGGTCATGGCTGCTGGCGGCCTCACAGAGACTTTGTTCCACAGTTGTACGATTGTCCTGTTTAGCCACCCTCCAGATGAAGCTTGTTTCACCGGCATGCGATTCTGTATTGTGGTGTGAGAGCCCTTCGTGACTATTTGCCAGAAAGTTGCATGCAACACACGCAAACGCAGGGTCTTTGCTGAAGTCTAAGTGCTCAGAGTCCAAGTGCCCAAAGAAGTGATGAATGTCTTGAGATCCAAAGTCACAAGACTTGCAGATATAAGTGTCACTATCAGCAATTCCGCGGTGCCCGTTAGACAAAGCTCCATTATTACTATTACTGGCAGCAGCATCACTAGCTGTTGGCCCTTCCACAGGAGCATCTTGTTGCGTTCCTTCACGATCATCTTCTACAGCGTCCAGTTCAGTCTCCTGAAGCACCAGTGTTTTTACTGGTATCATGCAGGGAGTTGTGGATTTTCTTTTGCTAGCCATCACTACAATTGATCCAGATGATTATTTTTCTTTCACTTAAATGAAATTAAAATTTAAAAAGCGCTATTGCAAGTGCTCAGTGGTCTAGATTCCAGCAAATTCATGATGTCCCAAGAAGCTGTTGTCAAATGTTGACAAATGTTCATATTTGCCACTGAACCTGAGGACAAGGAGAGGGAGGAGGGTTAGTTCTCGTGGCATTAGACAAAGCATAACTATCCTGGTATTTAACTGTTTCACTCGATAAATCATTTTCAGCCTCTTTAGCTGGAAAAATTTAACTTGACCTTGGATTTACTGTATTTTCACACATTCAACCTGTGGATTACCCGTTTGAAAACAAACACACAAACATGCCTCTTTTACAGCCCACATCAAATTCTCATTTGAGGAGGAAAACCACCGCAATTTCCTCTCACCTTACCCTGCCAAGACCCATCCTCAGCGTTTCGGTGGGGAGAGCAGTGCCTGGGCTCCCTGCGTGCCCGGGCTCCCAGCTCAGCGCCATGCAGGAGGCGATACCAGGCAGGGTCACCCTGGGAAACCCGCCTGCTTTCCATCAGAAAAAAACCTGATGAAAAAATCAACACGTTCCCCACAGAACGTTTCGATTTCTTCAAAATCAGCATTTTCCAACCATCCTGTTGGGAAGTTTCTCGCCAGCTCAAAGCACCGTGCCAAGGGCCTCTGCCTGCAGAGATGCCTGGAGCTTTGCTGCGGGGAGCAAGGAGGCTGCAGCCAGGGCCACGTATTTTAGCCCTCTTCGCTCAGCAAGCGCTCAAAGCGTTTGTGGGATTCCCTCCCCACCCCATGCACAGTTCATTACAGATTTAACAGCATCTGTTGAGTCTTCAGCTGGAGCTGCAAGAGAAGGTAAGGCCCCAAAACTCAAGGGCAGCATCACACACATGTTCCTGGCTCCCAGCCTTCCCCTCCCAATGCACTGGAGGTATTTCCTGGGAAAAATGTAATTTCTCCACAACACAAACCCATTTTGCTGGGCTTGGGGTGACCAGACAACTGTCCCATAAAAAAAAAAAAAAAAAAGAGAGTAATTTTTGTTCCTCTCTGTTTTGGGGGGTTTGTTTGTCTGGTTTGGGGTTTTGTTTTGTTTTTGCCTCCTCCCCCCCGAAGCTAAAGCAGTTCCTGAACTGCTCCAGCCTGTGGAAGGCTAGGGCTGGCTGAGGCATTAGCCACAACCTTATTCCTGGCCTGAAGCAGCTTCGCCATCCGCACAGCGGATGCTCAATCCCTGAGATCACAACCCCAGGGCAGTAAGGCTGTCTGCTGTAGCTGGCACCAGGAGTCACTTGCCTGGTGACCGGGTCCTGATGGCAGGGAAGGAAGCACATCTGAGTGAGTAACATCTCTGCCTTAACCCCTCTGTCAACTTTTATACAGCAACTCGGCTTTTTTCTTTTAAACGCAGGGATAAAATGGTATTTTTCCAGATTGCACGGTCACTTGGAAGCATATGGACGCACTAATTCACATTGCAAAGACTCTGTGCCAGATTTTCCCGGGATTTACAGTAACAGCGATGAAGCTTTATAAAAACACTCATAAAAACTTGAACTTAAAAAAAAAAAAACAAACCAACCAACTTACCATCCTACCAGATGACTCACAGAGGTGACTCCTATCAGTTACAGCAGTTGTGTACCAGTAGCTTTCTCATATCAGATATTCTGAGCTGATCTCATGCACCGAGAAATGCAGATCGGGCGAATGACTTCGTGGTGGTGCTTATGCAATACCTCCTCTGCTTATTTTTGTCAGTAGCTTTTAGAACAGAGGAATGAAAGGTCCTAATGCAAAAAATCAAATGGCGGAAGTACAATTTGACCTCCCTAACTTCATCAGAATTTTTTTAAAAAATTATTCTGAAAGCTGACATCATTTTTTCCAAACAGGAGAGCTTAGATGGCCGGCTCTGGCCTCAGCAACTCTCAGGCACCGTTTAAAAGACTGATGGGAAAACGTAACTTCCCGTTAATGTGGGCTGATCTGAGATTACAAAACAGTCCTGTAAATAGTGTTAGTCATCACTGAACTTGGCATCAGAAACGACTGTTTGCTATGCTAAAGCTTCATGAAAGGCTAGAAATTATGACTTTTAAAAACATCTATAAATAAAAAAAAGGTATTAAAGCTGTGATCTGGATTGAGATGGTGCGAACTGCACGCTTTCAATACCTGCTTTATGCTTCTCTCATCCCACCTTTTCGTGGTTAGTCTTTCCCTCTGCAGAGGGCCAGAAAGTTATTCATTAGCATTAGCAAGTTGAATACTTGGATGACTATGAATGGGCTTTGCTATTCAGCGGGGAACAGCATCCATTTGACACCAATTCCAAGATCCTCATTTTTGATGCTAAGTTAAATATTACACAATCTAGTAGGGTGCGATGACCTTTCCAAGTCGAGTCAATTAGGAAAAAAACAGTAAGACCAGCCTGAAGGCTACAAAATATAGCTTTAAAGGCTGAAAGGAGTTTCGTGTCAGGGAAGCAACTGTAAAAGTAAATTCTCAGTTAATTTTATTTTGCAGCTCTGCCACAGGTCAGGGGGAAACTGCTGGGCCCTCTGCAAGCTTTTTCATTTCCAGCAAACTCCCGATAGAGATCCAGTTCCAGAGTCTCCATTACTGAGAGAGCTCAAGTCCCAGATGGATCTTACCTAGTGTTTATGGAGTCGCCAGATATCAAAAAGATGATTTTTATCTGTGAACAGAGTAAATTTGATACAGAGCAAAAGAGATACACAAAGACCCCCATTGTGCCACATTAACGGAGTGCCTCTCCCGAGCATGCCGTCACTATTATTTTGGGTAAATGTGAACGGCCTGACCCACCTACAGAGAACCTAAAAGCTCTGCATTTCATTTACCAGCACATTTGCATCAAGCTCTGTACTCTCTCCAACAACTTTTGTTAAAAATGCAATCAAAGCAGCCCCAGCCGCCACAGCTCTCCTGCTGGGGCTCCAATATTAATGCCACCTGAGAACACAGATTGCAAATTTAGCTGGAAGTGAATCACAGTGCCAATTTACTGGGGGGAAAAAAAAAAAATTAATCAAGTGTACTGTTTGTCCGTTTCATTTCCATGGAACAGTTGCATAACCACATGTTCGGAGCATGTTTTATTCCCTGCTCACCTTCTGGAATGCACTAATACTTTAATACACCACTAATATATAACAGAACGGATAATTCACCGATTTCTCCGTCATTAAAATAAGCAAGGCTGTTTTAATGAATAGGGTAAATTAAGGGCAGAAAAATTAATCAATTAAAAACCAACCTTACAATGGAGCTTAGTATACCACCACTGCAAATGTCTCATACCAATTTGCACAGCCATGTGTGAAGAACTTTGCTCCAGTTCATCATAAAATAATACACAGGAAATAAAGAGACTTTAGCTGAATGGAATAGCTACCTGGCAGCCAGGAAGACAAAGGGATTGTACTTAAATTCATGGTTCCTATTTAATTTATACCTGCTAATTTAATAGTGAGGCAGCAGAGTAAGCAGGTCACATGACCTGTGCACCTAAACTTGCCGCTGCTATTGGAAATTGGAAAACTGACTTAAAGCAGAGTCAAACTGATTCAGTCTCAGTGATGCTTCCAGAGAGACTAACGCTGGAAGGAAAGGCAGCCCAAAGGCTCCTTTGGCCAGCTCGGATCCCAACACGTGGCTGGGGGTACATTCTATCTAAAGCACCAGGAACCGACCCCTGGGGCTGATGCGTGTTCGCTCACAGGACAGCGAGAGAACGGTGCACACCCCGCTCCTGAAACAGGGACGAGCAGCCCAGCCTTTGCACCAGGCAGGCACGAACCCAGGTGAACAGCTTGGGTTGGGTTGTGGTTCCCCATCCTTCATGCACAGCCATGACTGCTTCTCTGCACAGCTCCCAACTTAAAACAGTTAAAAAAAAAAAAAACACAATAAAAAACCACCATGGGAAACATCATCTCCACTGGTAGATGCAGTTTTATGCTGTTGTCACCACATCATGGCTACAGGGACAGCCAGGTTGGTGGCCACCCATCAGTTCTCACGGGTTGCAGCTCAGAAGTGGCAAGTCCCATACTCAGAGACAGCGGCAAGGGCAGGGGAACCGCAGGCTCCCGCGCTGCCCGGTTCTCCTCCCTGCAGGAGACCTACGAAGGCCACAACACACCAGTGACCCACCTCCAGCTCACAAACAAGGCGGCGACGTACCACGAGACGTGATTTCAACTACCCCTAGTGATTGAGAAAATAATATTAGAGGAGGAAGACTGAAACTGTGAAATCCAGGATCCCAATCTATGAAAACAACACAGCATTTCTGCTAGAGACAGCCCAAAACCTACAACGCTGCTATGAGGACTCCCCTTCTGCAATCCTCCCCACACCAACCCTCCTTCCTTCCCAGCACCAACCACTGCCTTCTCGGCCCCATCGGCGGGTCCAGGTACGCACCGCTAACCCTCTGCAGAGCAGCTTTGCCTCTGCTGAATAAAACAATGCCCAGACCGGTCAAAGTGAGCTTAGCAATTTCAGAAAATTTACTTCTGCAGAGATTAACAAAGGGAGGTTTCGAAATCTGCACTGCTGAGTATGAACTTTCAGCTTTTTCCAGCTTGGCTGGATATAACTGGTTTGGTTTTAAATGTTTCAGTGAATTAATGAGTTAGGTTGTTAATGCAAAACATTCATTCCGCGCAGTGCCAAGGTCCCCAGTTAGAAGATTAATTTTTGTGACCTTTTGCAAACCTCGCCTAGAAACAACAACCAGAAAACCCACCAGGCAGCATCACCGGCCAGGCAGCACGCCGCCGGGCACAGCAGCTCCGGTCCCACCGCCCGGGCACGGGCACGACGGGACAGTCGCCCTTCTCTGCCCCCAGCCCAGCCATCTCCTGGGTGCCCAACGCTCACACCGGGGACAAGGCTCCACACGGACACGTTGGATGGCTACGTACTCTACCGGGAGCTCTGGCGTT